CAGGGTTACATTTAAAAAAGTGGCTCACAGATGGACAGAGCCTTGCAAAAGAAGGGTGTCAAGCTGGAGCACCAGCACATGAGGCCCAGTGAAAGATCATGGTGGCTTGGACTTCATGGCAATGGAGATGGACAGACAAGGACAGATTTGACCAATATTTAGAAAGTTGAATCAACAGGATTTAGAAATGTTTAGATTTGGGGGTGAATGAGCTTTTCTTGCATGTTTCCTACGTGAGCAATTGGACAGATGATGATATTATTTATGGAAACAGAGAACAACAGTAGGGGAGCAAGTTTGAAGAGTTAAGACGATGAGTTCAGTTTTGCAGACATCGAGTTTGAGGTGTCTATGATGTATCCAAGTGAAGCCACTGAGCCGACAGTTGGATGCATGGGTTTGGAGGTCAGCAGCGAAGCCTGGATTGGATTTGTATTTTTTCTAGGTGGTCAGCACATAGATGATGCTGGGAGTGGATTAGGTCACTTAGGGAGATTGTGTAAAATGAGAAAAGGGTTAGGCTCAACTGGGTCTTGGGTAACTTAAAACGAAGTAGAAGGAGTTAGAAAGGAGTGGCCAGTGGTGGGGGCGGGGTGGAGGACTTGGAGTGTGCGTTATCTTGAAAGCCAGTAGAGGAGGTTGCTTCAAGGAGGCGTGGTCCATTGTGTCAGACGCTGCCGAAAGGTCAGGAAAGGAGTGGGGTTTGCAATAGCTGGGTTTAGCAACATAGAGGCCACAGGTGAGATTAGCAGGAGAGAAACTAGGAGAGAAAAGTACAATAAAGCATCTGTCTGGTCTTTGTTCTGGGTTCCCGGCACAGAACTTCTAAACCCCTTGGTATGTCCCAAGTGACCTGAGTGTCTTTGTGATTCACGAGCCCCCAGGATCACATCTGAGTTTATGCTGACAACATGGATCCAGAAGGGGGCTGGTTACCAGAAAGACTCTGACTTCTGAGGATTGAGTTCAGTCACGTGGCCAGTGATTCAGTCAATCACACCTATGAAATGAAACCCCAATGACAACTCTGGACAGTGAACTTAGTGGAGCTCCCTGGTTGTGAACACATCGAAGAACTGGGAGGGTGATGCACCCTAATTCCACAGAGAGAGGACAGAGAAGCTCTGCATCCAGGACTCTCCTGGACCTCATCCTATGTGTCTTTTCATTTGGCTGGTCCTGATTTATATCTTTTATAATGAAACTGTAATCTAAGAATAGCACTTACCTGAGTTCCGTGAGTCATTTTAGCAAACTGCGGAACCTGACAGGGTCAGGGGGACTCCCTAATTTGTAGCCTATAGGTCCGAAGTGTGGGTGGCCTGGGGACCCTTGAATTGTGGCTGGCATCTGAAGAAAGGGTGGCTGTGTTGGGGACTGTGTCCCTGGCTTGTGAGGTCTGAGCTGACTCCACTGGTCAGCATCAGAGCTGTGCTGCAGTCCACCAGCTGATGTCAGAATAGGGGACCAGAATGTGGATGGAAGAATTGGCTCATGTGAGAAGGTAGCATAAGGGATGCAGGCTAGGATGGGTACAGATGCAGGTAAGTTGTTGGGTTTGGTGGTGGGAAGTTTAAAAAGTTCCCCTTTGATGGTTCCATTTTCTCTGCTGAGAGGAAAGGGGTTGGAGGTTGGAAGTCTGAGGAGAGTAAAGAACATCTGAAACTGGGAGAGCACATTGACTGCAACGGTTTTCCAGATATGACTGACATTTGGAAAATTCTTTGGGTGGGCTGCCCTGTGCATTGCAGGAGAGGCAGCATCCATCGTCTCTATCCATTAGATGACACCAGCTCCTCCCAAGGGGTGACAACCAGAAGTGTTTGCGGACATTGCCAAATGCTCTCTGGGGGTCACAGTCGCCCTTGGCTGAGAACCATTGAGCTGGAGAAATACGGTAAGATCAACAGGCAGTCTTAAGGGCCCATTCGTGGCTGATGCCCACAGATGGGTGGACATCTGTGGACAGATGTCCACAATGTGTCTCTTGAAGGTAGATCCCTCTAGAGGAAAGGATGTCCTAACCTCGTCCGCATCCTGGAGAAGCCTCGCTCTTCCCACCTTCTCCTTTTCCCGCCCTCCAGACTTACTAAATTAACAGTGGGCAGAGCCACTGTGGGTTAACGGCAGGCCCAGCCAATTCGTTCTCATCCTTTCTCCCTTCATCCCATCCTCCTCCCTCCTCCCTTCTTCTCTTCCTCTTTTCTTTAAGTCATTGGTACCATAGGTGCCTTTGGCTGGGGTTGGTGTTAATTAAGACTGAGGCTTGGGGAAGAGGCTTTCCTTTAAACTCAAAGCCACTTGTTCCAGCTTGTTCTACCAGAAAGCCTTGAATCAGGAGTTAATGGACACCAGGCCAGTTCATCAAAATGTAGAATTCTATTTGCCATGTTTCCTTGTGTGTATAACTCTTTCTTTTGGGAACTCCCCAGGAGGGATGCTATGGCTGGATATGGGATCCATGGGTGCTCTTGCAACACCCCCAAACCTCCAATAAACCCGGACATATATACATAATTGGTAGGCCTACGGCCCTGGCAGGTGGAACGTGGGTGCAATTCAAAAGTGGACTGCAGTCAATTCTTACATAAACCACCCATTGTTAGCATCAGACTCCACAGGTTAGCTCAACCTCGACAAGACTGCTCTCGCTTCAGATGCCAGCCACCCAAACTTCTAACCAGCCCGCTACAAGTTCAGGGGTTCCCACGACCCCTCAGTTTCCATAATTCACTAGAATGACTCGCAAAATTCAAGAACGTGCTATACTTACAATTACAGTTCTGTTATAAAGGAATCTACACAGGGCAAGTTTCAGAAGGGGCCTGGACATGGACCTTCCAAGCCCTCTCCCTACGGAGTCAGGATGTCACCCTCCTGGCACCTCGATTTACTCACCAATCGGGAAGCTCCCCCAAGCCTCGGTGTCTAGAGTTTCCACTGGGGCTTCATTACATCCCCATGACAGATTGGATCACCGGCCATGTGATCGCGCTCCAGTCCGCTTCCCTTCCCCTCCCTGAAGGCCAGACAGCTGATGGGTCCAGCTTTCCAATCACGTGCTTGGTCTTTTTGGCGACTCGCCCTCATCCTGAAGCCACCTTGGGGCCCACCAGAAGACACCTCACTAGCATAACTAAGACGCTCCTATCACGCAGAGAATTCCATGGTCTGTGGAAGCTAAAGTCGGAAACTGAGGCCAAAACGCAGACATATTTTTTACTGAACCACAGAGCGGGTTTGTGATCTGAATGATCTGGATGCTGAAGGTGGATCCCCTGAGAGCCTGACCAGATGTGGCTCTTCCTAGCTGCTCAACCCACTTCCTGACAGATACACCCGGAGCCAGGCTGGGAAACTGGCCTGGGCGACAGACAGTCTGGTTTTCTGTGCAAAACACTAGTAGCTTCATCCCGGGAAACGGCTAATACCCTCAAGGTATCCCGATTGTTCTAAAAACAGTTCAGCTCATAATTAAATAGCTGATGTATCAGCTTGGTAAGAGGTAGAATGATGCTTGTAAAATATAATTAGAAAAATCTCAAGACTTGGTAAGAAACAGAACTATTGGCTAAAGCAAGTGATCCTAATTTCCGAGAAAAAGACTCAGAAGGAAAAATTCTTCAGCTGGTCTGGAAAGGGAAAGGATCTTAAGAGTTCCTCCAAATCAAAGAATTTGGGACCTACAGCTCACTCTCAGTGAGTGAGACTTGAGGCTACACCGTCTGACCCAGAAGGAGCCCAGGGGTCTGTACTGGAAAAGGGACCAATGGGGACGCCTCGGAGGGTTTCAGGACATCTCCTAAAGATGATGCCATCTTGAGAGGGGGGGACTTGACAATCCAGGAACTCTAAGATGTGTTTCACTCCCAGGCCGAAGACTGATAAAATTAGGATTCCTTCCAGGGTCACTGAGACCTGGCTTTCGGTCAGTCTCAGCAAGCTTTCATTTATCAACTCAACAGATATTTACTGTATGCCAGGCTTGTAAAGCTCGGGAAAGCTATGTGGAACACGCAGGAACGGTCCTTGTCCTTCCGAGACTTAGGGTCTAGTGGAGAACACAGGCAACAAACGAATGGATACATAAAACAATTACAAATTGTAATAAGTACTCTGCAGAAAACAACTCAGCATAAACACTTCCAGGAAACTCATCATTCACAGCCGGACTGAACACACCTAGTGGAAGTATCTTTCCACATTGGATCCAATCTACCTCACTGTAATGTCCCTACGTTCAACCTGGTTTCACCCTTTGAAGCAGCAAAGAATCTATATACTGGCCTTTGACGTGACCATTTTTTTAACACTGGAAAACAATGACTAGAACTTTCCTGCCATAAATGGTTCCAGTTCTTCCGAGCATTATTTATCATAAAGATAAATGCATTTGAGTTCCAGCTCAGCCACTGGGAAGATAATAGCTTCTCCAAGCTTCAGTTTCCTCATCTGTGACGCAGGGATAATAATTTATACTTTGTAGGGCCGTTGGAAGAACCTGAAACAGTATATGTATCACGTGGCACGAACTACCTACTACACCCCTCAATGTCCTGTCTTCCTTTCTAGAGATACAAATGAGTAGCTGTTACACTACCCTTAAAACGTGATGTCCAGGATTGGGTACAAGGCTCCAGCCATGCTGGCACTTAGACGAAACATCAAGGAACGATCTTGTCCTTGGTGTGGGCAGTCTGCTGGGGACTCACGGAGCCTTTGACAAACACAAACTTTGAACTCTGATGAGACATAGCTCCTTATCAGCTCACCCTAAACTGGTGATCACCCTCTGATGCACAAGCAAACCATGAAAAAAAAGGTCAAAGCTTTGCTAAAAGTCACTTAAAATAAACAGGTAGAGCTCTCGAGCCCGACCATCGGAGGGAAAACGTATTCTGTAGTGTCCACAAAGTTCTGTGTTTATAAAATGTGTAGGATGCATCTGAACATGAGCTCCGAGCCTTGAACAGGGGTCAGAATCCTGCCCTGCTCAGTACCTGTGGAAGGTGAAGATGGTGCAGCTGCACTGACGGTGCCCAGGTTTGTCCACCGAGACACCAGCCCGGCCCTGGCCACGGCCCGCTGATAGTTGTCATAGAGAGTCTTTCCATACTAGGGAGGAAAACACAAAAGAAGCAGGAAAGTCATCCATTTGTCCCAAATAGTCTGCACGCGGTTGCAACATATACATTTAGGAAAAAAAGTACTTCATGATCACTTTTTTCACTCCTTTCCTGATTTTTTTTTTTTTTGGTAGTAAAGTTGACCCTTGAACAAGACTGGTTTGAACTGGGCGTATCCACTTATATATGTTTTTTTCAATAAATAATGTAAATGTATTTTCTCTCCCTTATTTTCTTAATACCATTTTCTTTTCTCTAGCTATATATATATATATATATACACACATATATGTGTGTGTGTGTGTGTGTGTGTGTGTATATATATGTGTGTGTGTATATAACAATCAAAATATGTTAATTGACTGTTTATGTTATAGGTAATTCCAGTCCATGGTAAAAATTGACTGTTTATGTTATAGGTAATTCCAGTCCACGGTAGGCTATTAGTAGTTAAGTTTTCGGGGAGTCAGAAGTTATACTTGGATTTTTTGACTGCGCTGGGGGTTGGCGCCCTTAACCCCTGTGTTGTTCAAGGCTCAACTGTATCAGCATTTCAGTAAATTCACAAATTGTTTTTTCATGTGTTAACTAATTTTCCAGATTAACAGAATCAGTTAATACTTTTACCTAGACATCAGAGAGAGCTTTAGCCACACAATTCTGATTACATATGTCTTTATGTAATTCTACACTCTGTGTATGTAATTGTACCTTGTGTTTCTTAATTACACACTAAACCTGCAATGCTCTCCGTGAGTAAACAAAGATCTGAAAAGTCTCATGTGAAAGTAAACCCATGATTCTCAGGTTGTTGGAGAGGTCCATATTTCTATCCCTCTCACCTATTTAAAAAACTCAATGGGCAAATAAATAAGCTAATATTGGTGGCGTCGACCCATTAAGAATGTGTCAGCTGTTTCTCAGAAGCACAAAGACTGGACCGAGGTCTGGAAGCCGGGTGGAAAATTCAAGGGAGGGTGGAGTCCAAATGCTCGCTCACCTTGGCGATCCTTATTCCCGTGACCCACTGGTTTAGAGTTCTTTCGTCGTCACAGCAGAGATACTTGATATACTGGGACTCCTTCTGAATTTGAGGATGCTGGAAAAAAGTCATTTCAAGCACTGTTTATAAACTCTTTATTTGTTAGTGTCTTTCAAAAAAAAATTTGAAACTCTAACAAAGTATATGATTTCCTGAGAAGGTGGCAAAAATTACTGAGAGTGATTTTAGGATTAGGAAGAGGGGTACTTTTAAAACAGGCTACATTTGGAAAGGGTTTAAAAAATTTGGGACATAGTTTAGCATAAGTATCTCTTACTATTTATCAATAGTAATGTTCATTTCTGCTTTTTTAACCTTTGAAAGCTTTCACACCTATCACGTCTCTATTCCATAAGAAATTGGAGTCATTTCTCTGTTTATCAGATAAAGGAACTTACCTGATGTAATTCTTATGTCACAGAAACAGTAACATTTTTGTGACTCCCAGTCAACCCTAGGGTAATTTCTGCTACCAGGAATTATCCTTTCTTAACCGTCTACTACTCAAATGGGCCATTTTGGCCTCTGGATGGTTGGCCGGGAGAAGAAATATTTCTGTTTATTCTCAAGAGGCAGTGACTTTGGGTGCTGCACCAGGGGACCAGGCCTT